TCTGTCGCATCGCTTTGCTTGGTGCTTGCCGTGCAGCCAGGTGCCGGATGCCCGTTTCGCGGTGCCGAAGCGACTGTCCCGTGGGCTCTAACCGCCCCCCGGGACCCGCCACGAGTCCCGCAGCGGACCGGGCTCAGGCCGGGGGCAGCGGTGGCTGGGCGCGGGCCCCATCGGGTCTGGAGGGCTCGCTGCCAGGATGCTCCGCTAGCTTGGGTCGTTTGCTGCCAGCACTGGGAAAACGGGTAGCATAGTATCAAGCAAAAAAAGCAAAAAAGCAAAAAGATGCCAATAATATGGTATATCTCGCACTGACAGACTTTAAAATTCCTGTCGTGTTTAATGGCTGATAAAGTGCTCAAATGCAGCTGGTCGTGAGACGGGATGCATGGACAGGCAGGAATGGCTGGGCAGAGGCAGGAAATCATGGACAGTGCTAGCGGGGTGCCGGCAGCTGTATGCGGGGTGTCAGCACTCCCACCAAGCTGGGAATAGGCAGAGAGGTGTGAGACGGCTTGCCGACCCCTGGCCCAGCCAGGCAAGGTTAATATGCTCACTTAACCAAAAAAAAAAAAAAACAAAACAGATCCTCTGCCAAAAGGTTATGTGAGAAGCTGAATTTTTGGCTTTTGCAACTTCCAGTGGCTGCACAGGATATAATCGCTCCGTCTGCCCTGGGCACCCTCCGCTTTGTCACGCGGACGCCTGGGAGCGGGATGGGATGTCTGGGCACGCAAACAGCCTGCAGCGGTTTCCACCAGTCCTGCGTCTAACCCGAATTTTGCCACCTGGGAGTGTAAAAGTTGGCATGAGTTTACATTGAGCTCAAGGGAAATGAGAGTTGCTCATGGGCAAGAAACACAGCTGTAACACCTCCTCCTCTAGCTGGGATGCCTCTGATGTGAACAGCTGACGGAGCCCAGGCAGTATTTGGAGGAAGCTGCACAGTATGTTTTCTCCCTAAATTTATCTGTTGTCAGAGAGAGGACTTGGAACCGGGTGTCACTTTGGTCTGGCCCAACGCGGCCGTTCTTGCGGCAACTCTCTCCTTCTCCGTTACTTCTTGTCCTAGTGCAAAAGCTGCTTCAGTGTTTTGTGTAATACTCTGCTTTCACCCCCAGGAGCGGCGAGCGTGGTGGTGGGCCACCCCCTGGACACAGTCAAGGTAAAACACTTTGCACCCTGCTTCCAGGCACTGTTCAAAACACGCAGGTGGGGAAGTTACCGCTTTCCAGGTGCCACTGCAAACGAGCTTCACGGCCCCTGTTATCGCGAGGGTGGATGTAGCCTAGCTAGAAACACTTTTACAGGCTGCGCTCTTTCTTTCTCTCTGCTGCTGATTGCAAAGTGGAAACTGAAAGGACTGTCTGATCTGTATGAGTTCCCCTGGTGAAGATTAATGCTGAAAATTAAAACTGTCCCTTACGTCACGTTCAATTTACTGAAAAGTTCTGTCAGAATTGTACTGAACTTTGCCACCGGCAAGTATTCAAAGGGCAGAGGGGGGAACTATTTGTTTCTTCTACAGGTATTTTTAAGCATTTTCCTTATATTGGCAATGCTGTAAGGGCAGAGTGCAGAAATTGTTCTCCCAGGGCTATGAGAGGTGATATTTACCATTTCTGCAGGAGAAATGGACCCTAGAAGGAAGGATATACAGACATAAGGAGATATTTGCCAGCACGTTCCAAACGTAGACATGAATGCATCCTGACCCAACTGAGCTGACAGTCTCTGCTGATAGCGAGATACAAAGGAAGATCCTCTTCTCCTCCCCTCCCCTTTTGTAGGGTTTGATACACCCCTCTGGCCACCCTTCATGGCTCCTGAGGGCCCTCCACTGCCCACCGACTCTGACCTAGAGTTCAAGCCTTGCTGCTGGTCCCAGGCTGGGCCACCAGACGTGGTAGACCCAAGAGTGGATCGTTCCATTTGCACTCATGGGGCACCAGAGGATGTGACCGATCTACAAGCAGAAAACTTTCCTTGGTGGCTTTCTCCACGGCTGCCAAGGGGAACAGCCCAGGGAGTGACGAGGGTGCTAAAATACCATTCAAAAAACCACCAGAGTGTGTGAAAACTCTCAATTTGTTGTCAGTGATTTCTATTTATGGAGAGCAGGTCAAGCTTACTTAAACGCGTGGCTGCTCCGGGTACCTAAGGTCCTTTCTCGCTGGCGACGGGGAAAGGTTGCTCCCACACCAGCCCTGGGGCTGAGCATGGGCAGCGGCAGCAGCCAGTGACGCAGGGACAGGGCACAGCCTGCCCAGGCTGGGTGCACCCCGCGTTGCCTAGGACCCGCTTTAAGTCAACTGGTGGCTTCATTGTCAGGATTGTGGCAGTTTGGCAAAAGCTGACAGAGGATCCTTTGGGAATCGCCGAGTTTTTGGACGCCAGGAAACAAGGAGCCCATCTTTCAGCGCTCATAAAGAGGAGTGTCAGCCTGACCCCTCTGTTACACTTGGTTCTGGGCATTGCCTGGGAATATCAAGTAGGCAGATTTGTTATCTTTCCAAATTTAGGGGAAGGGAAGTGGAAAGGAGAGCAGGCGACTATTTACGAATACTAAATAGTATTTGTAGCATCCAGGCGATGAGAGTTTGTCACCTGGAGAAGGAAGCAGGACTGAAGGAAAGGTGCGATGGGGGACGTCGTGTCACTAGCTCCACGGTTCCCACCACGCAAGCTTCTTCTTTCAGCCGGTTCTTTCCATGAGGTCCAAGTGGCACTTTTTCCACAGCCTTGCAAGCCGCTGAATACTTTTCCATTTACTCACTTTTCATCCTCCGCATTGCATTCGTTTTCCCAGGCCTTTCCGCAGTTTCTGGGCTTTGCTGCTTTTTCCCCGCTTCCATGTGAAAGCCAAGATGAAAGGCAAGCATGCTTGGGAAATCTGCCTTGGAGAAAGGCCTGCGAGCTGTGGCCGCGCTGCCTGGGGGCGGTTGCCTGGGGTGTTGAGCCAGGGCGCCCGCTAGCTTGGCCTGTCGTGGCCTCTCCCGAACCTTCGTTGGGCCTCCTCGTGCTGGGAGTGGGAACTGCGTTTGGGGCAAGCACTGAAGTTCAGGGTGCTGCGATCCCTGGGAAGGACCAACCAAGGGGATCCTGGCAGCGGTGCTTTTGGTCCTGGTAAAGCTCTGGGGTATCCGTGCTGGGCGCTGGTGGTGTTGGTTCCTTTTCACCGTTTTCTCCTGGCTCAGAAGCCGCACGAATTGTCTCAATCCTTCCGTTTCTTCCAGCAAATGCAGAAGGCAACACTGAAGGGTGGGAAATGCCTCCTGCGAATGGGCAGGTTGGGCTTGCTGCTCCGGAGTACCCAGGTGCGGTATGAGTGCCCCTTCTGCGGGGAAACTGAGGCAGCGGGCAGGCGAACGCCTGAGCTTTCCCTAGCAGGTGAACCTCTTCCGTCCTTCTCCCCGAGAAACCGGGGTCCTTACGCTCTCGCGCCCTCCCTGGAAAGAGCTGCCGGTGGAAACGGAGGCCGCCGGCTTTGCAGGGAGGCTGAGGTACCGAGAGACGGGTTGTCACCCTGGCTGGCGGGGAGAGCAGTCCCGGCAGCCTGACGGCCCTACTGCACTACTGGAAATATAAGGGGAAAGTGCCTTTCCCCCGATGGAAATCCCTGCTGGAGTCGGCTGGCTTTGCTGGCACCGCGAGCAGGGAACGGCGCTCTGCAAGGAGCAGCCCGGCAGGACGCTCAGCTGCCTCTTGGTTACTCAAAAACTACAGTAATTTGAACTCTAAGTACCTGGTTACTGTGTAAAAGAAAAGAAAACAAGCCCAGTGGGAACCCTCCGTGCTAAGGGTGCAAACGAAGTCAGGAGCGAGGGCAGAGCCGCGCGCCGCAGGCGCCGGGGCGCTCGCGGCCCCGCTGCCGGGGGTCGTTCCCCGGC